TTCAATATTAAGTGATTCTAATGAATTGTCTAAATAATTAAAGGAGAAAATACGACCAAAGCATTTTTGGCTATACTTCTATGGATCACATGAGTGCTGTTTGTTCTGCACTCCTGTGAACCATTTTCAGCAGACAGGGGGCTCCTGTATGCTCCAGTATGTGCTGGAGGATCAGAGCAGAGAGCCAGTGGCCCACAATCATTGGCTCTTCACACTGAAGACTGAGAATAGAAGCAGCAGGGACAGATACAGCATTGGGTCGAGAGTATAATTTTTTTTTACAGAACCCCATACTTCTCTTTTAAATTCTTCAGCACTACCCTCCCTTGTTTGTCATGTTATGTCCCATACCATGCTGTCATGAAATTGGATTGTATACTGTATTGCTAATTTTCCTTTCTTACTGCTAAAGCATGGTAGCATACAAAATATTCCTAGGACTTTGACAATGGGTATAGTTACGAGAATACTGGCCTTGTTGAGAGGGTTTTATTTATAGTGTAAAAGATCCTGTAATTAAGTAGGGTCGGAGACATATCCATGTGTATTTAGTGTAGTTAGTGTCAGGAAAGAAAAATTACTGATAGGCAAGGACAGCATTTTCTAATTTGTAGTAGTATTAGTATTTTGCTCTTTTTGTAACTGTCCGGCTAGATTTACGGACAAGAAAATGCTTGTGTTAGACTGAAAATACACTATTGATTTTTGACAAACCTTGCCTGCTTTACCTGAGGCAGCAAAAAGTTAGAACAGCATCAGTAGTCCCATATTATGTGACAGTATCAGATTGTCCCTTTGAAGCAAAACAGGTAAAAATATTAATTGGTTGTATTTACACACATCAACTCTTTGGCACAATGTCCTGCTGCTTTCTATTTAGCTAAGACACTGCTTTAATTTTGCCACATATGACTTTGCAATATACAGCAAAAAAGTAAAAGAACATTTTTATAATGAATATTTGCACTCCCAAAATGTCTGTGCATTTTGTTTAATAAATTAAATCATTATCAATGCAATTACATCTTTATCAATTCTATGTCAAAATGCAAAACCATTGTTTAATATAGAGATAAAAGGGTCAATGTGCATTATATAATGTAACTAAAGTGTATACACTTTCTCATACATAATTCTAACTCTGTTTAATGTTGTGTATATGACCTGTGTTTTAAGTGAGCCATAATTCCTTATAATTACACCTGATGCTGAATGAATGATTCATTACTGGACTAATTACAGTGTGCTTTCCTTGAAAGCCAAAGTGGAGATGGTTCATAATTATCACAGGTGTGGAGGAGGGTAAGTAACAGATATTTAAGTATATCCTGGTAGAGAAACAGCACAAGTTCATACGTAATTGTGATTTCAGCCATTTTATAAATTAAATAACAGCAATAAAGAATAAATTAGACTATCTGAAATACTGATTACGCTTAAAATCTACGAAATTGTACAAAACAGTCGAGTTTACAGTATAAAAATGTTATTTTGAAATAAGGTGTTTAAAACTGAACTCCAGGCAAAAGCTTTAGAATCCCATAGAATTTTGGGATAACCTTAACTCCTTTTAAAATGCTCCCTCCCCCTTCCTAATATCTATGCTAACTTAGTGGCAGCTGCAGGGTAGATTAACAGTGCTCAACAGTGGCTAGTAATTTGAATGTTTACTCCCCGAATTTCTTATCGCTTTTATGTGCACTCAAACAACAACTTGAAAAATGGTGCTCTTTACATCTTTTGTGGTTTGGCTGAACAGCCAAGCTGAAAATGACTGTTTTGCCTCAGTGCTTATACCTTATGCAAGCCATCCCTATATTTTTATCAAACTCCTTCTTCTCTGCCCTTAGGAAGCTCAGTATTCATTTGGAAAAACTCCACCCCGAGACTCAGTCTGGCCCAACTGTCTCTCCCAAAAAAAGCAGGTGGTATTGACCTCCCGGACATGAACACCTATCACAAAGCATGCTTGTTAACCAAGTTCGTGGATTGGCACATACATGCTTCCACCAAATCATGGATAAAGCTAGAACAAGACCTAGCAGATATTCCTCTTACTTTGGCCCCTTGGACCTCTAGGGAAAACAAGCGCATTAAGATCATTAAACGTCCTCTCATTTGTCCACTTTTTACTTGCTAGATTGGCTCCTCTAAGTACGATAAACTTTCTTCTACCCCTGACCTGATGACCTCAGTACTCGCCAATCCAGCTTCCCTCCAGGCCTAGAAACACAATTTCATACACTGTGTCAGAAACAAAATTGCCAAAGAGCCGGAGACTTCTTTCAGAAGTGTCCCCTGCGAACCCAGGAGTCCTTGAAAGATCCAGAGTCTAAGGTTTAATTTCCCTGGTGGTCCTACCAATTAAAACACTTCGATCTCCCACACCTTTTGAAGCACTATGCCTCTCTCAAGCCCCACCGAGACACCTGATTTCCTCCATTTATTCTATTCTACTTGATAATTCCCCCCATGACCTGTGTCACTTTGTACGGCTATGGGAAGCAGACTTGGGGGTCTCTTTATCAGAGGAGCAATGTAACCAAGTGCACACACCGATCATTAAAGTGTCCATCAGTATTTTCCCATCCCCCCTATCCCCCTTCCCCCACCTAGCCTCTCCTCCCTCTTTCCCTTTCTTTCCCCTTTTCTCTTTTCCAATCCCTTCCCCTCCTCCTTTTGTTCTCTCTTTTTCTGTTTTCCCCCTTTCCTTCCCCTTCCCTTATTCCCCTGAATCAACCAAGCTTTAGGCATAGCAACATGTCTGGGAATTCCTAAAGCTTGTCATAAATATTCTGTAGATGCATATCTTTTGAAAGGGCAACAAATGCTGGAACTTGCAACAGATGCATGACGTAACTCGCACTCAGCGCATCTGCAAATTAACAGACGTTCGCAACTTGAGTAGATCTTTGGAGAACTTTGGAAAGTGTAGAAAAAAATTTATATATTTATTTTTTTCAGGTAATTATTCATATCTGGATAGGGGAATATACCTTCTGCATTCCTTGGCTTTACATTATTCTGTTTTAAATTATAATTCAGTGGATATAAATTGGGTTATGTTTAGTGAATCAAGTTACATGGCATTAACATATTTGAAGTATTTCTGGTTGGATTTGTTATTTAACCTTTTCCCGCCAGCTTTATGTATATATGTGGCCTCTCAGTGAATGGGCTTTTACACTGAGAGGCCTCATATATGCGTCCTTATGTAAACATTTTCTGTGCTGAAAGTGTGCGCTCTGCATGTTTTTTTTATGAAGTATGCTTAGTATCCCAAGTATATAAATACAAATAAACCCCCCAAGTGCAAAATAATGACAATCAAATACAGTGTACCCTTCCCTTATTAACAAACTTCCACAAAACGCATATAGACTTAAACCCCAAAAAGTGTGATATTCTTATGCTTAGTATGCTTAGTATCCCAAGTATAAATACAAATATAATAAGTGCTCTGAACAAAAACAAAAACCACACAAGTCCCAAAATAATAAAATAGTCCTTCAAAATATCAAAGTCATTCAAAATCAAGCTCCAGGTGAAGACAGCTTCCAAAGTGATTTCTGAAACCAAAAAAAACCTAAAAAAAAAAAAGAAAGGAAAACACACATAGTGTATTATCCTTTACAACTTGAATTATTCATTCCATAACGCATGTGATTCATACAAAAACACTCGTAATCACTATATGGTAAGGTGAATAGCTGTGTAAACACGTGCCCGTGAAACAATCTAGTGATAAAAAACTGTGAAAAATGTCCACTTCTAGAGTGTGCAAATTAAATACCCTTACCAAAAAATTATAAACATAAGCTTAGTAATCCTCCAGGCAGGGTACTGATATATAATAATAAGTTCCTCGAGAGGGATCTTCACAGCCGCAGTATTATACTCCTCTCCACATCAGTCTCCAAACGATGCCCACCATAAATGAAACCACAATAGCGTAATTCCATAAAAACTTAAACAGAATATACTTTATTCATGTGCTTACATATATCTTCATCTTTAAAATTGCCATCAAACAAGAAATCAGCCCAGCCAGACCTCTGGAAATCCTCAGCCTGTTGCATGTTCCCAGCACATTTAAGCTCCCATACTTTCGATCAGGAGCATTCCAATCATGTGACAGCTGTGACAATCTCGGGATTTAGAACCAACTAAACATACATTGTCTGTGTGTTTGGGGTTATTCTCATGCTGCAGAATAAATTTGTAGCCGATCATGCTTTCCTGGTGGTATGGCATGATGAATAAGTATCTGTCTTTATTTCTCAGCATTGAGGACACCATTGATCCTGAACAAATCTCCAATTCCATTTGCATAAATGCGGCCCCAAACTTGCAAGGAATCTCCACCATGCTTCACTATTGTCTGCAGACACTCATTATTGTACCACTCTCCGGCCCTTTGGCAAACAACTTGCCTCATGCTACAGCCAAATAATTCAAATGTTGACTCATCACAACTATCTTTACTGTAAATAAGAACAAGAAGTCCTGGAGATGATGGTTTGGCTCCCACAGGTGGAGATCATTGATCTGGGGTTCCTTCAAATCCACACTGTGCAAGTTTGGACCTACCTAAAAACTGAAAGACCACCTAATGCTGTTGTTTTGAAGGCAAGGGTGGTCATACCGAATTTATTCAATTTGGATTTCATTTACTTTCCATGTTATTAATTGATAAAAACAAAAACCACTAACACTTCCATTTCTCATGAATTTACAGCAATTTTTCCAGACCTGCCTAAAACATTTGCACAGTACTGTATATAGCATAGTTTGAAGACGCTATAATTTTCACACAGACTAAATAATGCACATTGATTAGAGTTATTTTTACCAAAGAAATGTAGCAGAATACATTTTGGCCTAAATGTATAAAGAAAAATAATGTACCGTATTTTTTGCTCCATAAGATGCTCTTTTTTCCCCCAAAAAAGGGGGGAAAAGGTCAGTGCGTCTTATGGAGCGAATATGGAGCGGCCGGTCTGGTATTTCCACCGCCGCCGTGTCAGAATACCAGGCCAGCCGTTCAGCTCTGCAGCAGGACCTTACCTGTTCCTCGGTCCAGCGCTGCGCAGTCTTCCCGCGCCGGCTTCTTTAGTGTGGGCTCTCAGCTTAACAGCTGGGTTTTCAGTGCGCATGCACGAGAAGCGATGCGCTTTGTGAATGGTACGGCGTCTTCTGGGACACATGACAGGTCATACTGTCTGCAGTCTCTGGTCATCTCCTGTACTGTTTGCCATCTCTGGTCATCCCCTGCATTATCCGCAGTCTCTTGGTCATCCCCTGCACTGTCTGCAGTCTCTGGTCATCCTCTGTACTGTCCGCAGTCTCTTGGTCATCCCCTGTACTGTCCGCAGTCTCTGGTCATCCCCTGTACTATCTGCAGTCTCTGGTCATCCCCTGCACTGTCCGCAGTCTCTGGTCATCCCCTGTACTGTCCGCAGTCTCTGGTCATCCCCTGTACTGTCCGCAGTCTCTGGTCATCTCCTGTACTCGCAGTCTCTGTGTCCGCAGTCTCTGGTCATCTCCTGTACTGTGTCCGCACTCTCTGGTCATCTCCTGTACTGTGTCCGCAATCTCTGGTCATATCCTGTACTGTGTCTGCAATCTCTGGTCATCTCCTGTACTGTGTCCGCAGTCTGCACTCTCTGCTCATCTCCTGTACTGTGTCCGCAGTCTCTGGTCATCTCCTATACTGTCCGCAGTCTCTTGGCCATCCCCTGTACTGTCCGCAGTCTCGGGTTATCTCCTGTACTGTGTCCGCAGTCTCTGGTCATCTCCTGTACTGTGTCCGCAGTCTCTGGTCATCTCCCGCAGTGTACTGTGTCTGCAATCTCTGGTCATCTCCTGTACTGTTCCGCAGTCTTTGGTCATCTCCTGTACTGTGTCCGCAGTCTCTGGTCATCTCCTGTAGTTTGTCCGCAGTCTCTGGTCATCTCCTGTACTATGTCCGCAGTCTCTGGTCATCTCCTGTACTATGTTCGCAGTCTCTGTGGTCACCTCCTGTACTGTGTCCGCAGTCTCTAGTCATCCCCTGTACTGTGCCCGCAGTCTCTGGTTATCTCCTGTACTATGTCCGCAGTCTCTGGTCATCTCCTGTACTATGTCCGCAGTCTCTGGTCATCTCCTGTACTGTGTCCGCAGTCTCTGGTCACCTCCTGTACTGTGTCCGCAGTCTCTGGTCATCTCCTGTACTGTGTCCGCAATCTCTGGTCATCTCCTGTACTATGTCCACAGTCTCTGGTCATCTCCTGTACTATGTCCACAGTCTCTGGTCATCTAATGTACTGTGTCCGCAGTCTCTGGTCATCTCCTGTACTGTGTCCGCAATCTCTGGACATCTCCTGTACTGTGTCTGCAATCTTTTATTTTCAAAATTTTATAACAGAAACACTTTTTCATTTACAGCAAAATAATAACCTAGTGGTGTTTAAATAACATCAAAAGAAAGTTCTCTGTCTAAAAAAATGATAAACATTTTATATGGTTACAGTGTTGAGGGCTGAGTATTTGTCTTTCAAAGTGTGACAACGCTGAAATCTGAAAACTGGCCTGGGCAGGAAGGGGGAGAAAGTGTCTGGTACTGAGGTAGTTAAAGTGTATGTCAACCAAAACATATATTTTTAATGTTTTGTATAGAGTAAGTAGGTGTAGAGCTTTAGGGACCCCATTAAGGAGATTTATCCTAACTTCTTGTGCTGACAACAGTTTTACCATACAATTAGTGAGGAAAAATTACATGCAGATCTGACAGGGGTCCTAACCTTTCCCTGCTCTATTAAAAAAACACATATTTCTTTCTTTGTTGCTGTTGGACAGTTCCTATCCCTATTTCTCTGGTAAAATATGATCAGCAGGGCAAGTAATGAGGATATAGCCCTTTATGGGTTCATTTATATCTTTTTCTTGCATAATTGTGGTATTAGAATGCATGTTACCGCAATGTGTGGTAATGCACATTACATGTGTTTCTACATTGCAGTGTTATTCATTTTGAATAGCACCCCAACATATTAAGACAATACATATACATTTCAGCTCGCTGAAACCCATGGCAATGCACCATAAAAAAGAAAAAAACTGGTATACAAAGAAAAAACTGCCCTTGTTTCTATCCATTTAAATGCATGTGCCTCCATTGTGAGGACTCTCAAGATTTATAGAGTTAGGACCACAGATACTCAGGGTGCCGTGACGCGGCTCAATGGCTTACGTATGTATTTGCAAATGTGTGCTAACTAAACCCCTGTTTTTAAAGCATGTTCTTAGACAGGTTCATTTGGTTTTTGATAGTTGGCTAACTGGCTGTCAGTTTGAAATGGCTTTCTTATCCCCCTCTTTTGATAAGTTATACTTATCCATGTTCCTTGCCGACAATAGCTATTATTAGACTGGGGTAGGCTGGCAAGTTGAACTGGATAGTTCTATTTTTTTACAATGCACCATAAAGCATTGTTATACAATGCACATTTTGTAAATTTTTGGGACATTTTGATGAGTTGGCAGCCCATTAGTATAAATGAGCTGCTGTAATGCAACATGTTTAAGTAGTTGAGGTTCAAGGTTTTTCACCTTCATGCATTCTATCCATGAAGGTAAAACACCTTCTCTTGCAGCAACCCCCCCCCCAATACTCACCTAAGCCCCCTCTCGATCCAGTGATGTACACTGGAGTCTTGGCTATCAAGGTGTAGTGGCAAGATGAGTATCCCCATGAAGATGTGTCTCCCTGATGCATCTGCGCATGTCATGGTTTTCGGCAGAAGTAGCCGTTCGCCGATTACCATCCATAGCACAGAGCTGCCACAGTTAGCCCCTTTTAGGCTGCACCACTGAGTACACGCACCGCTGAAGCTGATCCCACGGATCAATAGCCGACGCTCCCGCAAGATGGATAAAAGCATCATGGAAAGGAGAGAGGTCGGAATGCAGTAGCTCTGTGGTCGCTTGACCGTCTCTGAAACTGTGACATGCGCAGATGCGTCAGGGAGACACATCTTCATGGGGATACTCATCTTGCCGCTCCTCCGGGACTCCCTCTCCTCATTGTCTGAGACAGCAGTGGGAGCCATTGGCTCCCACTTCTATCAATCACAGCCAGTCAGCAAATGAGAAGAGAGAGGGGGGGAGGGCTAAAGTGCTGCTCTGTGTGTGAATGGACACACAGTGCAGCGAGTGCCGCCATAGGAAGCTGCTTGCTGTGGGGGCACCCAACAGGAGGGAGGGGCCAGGAGAGCCTGTGGGGGACCTGAGAAGAGGAGGATCCAGGCTGCTCTGTGCTAAACCGCTGCACACAGCAGATAAGTATAGACATGTTTGTTATTTTTAGGGGAAAAAAAAAATTAAGCCTTTAGAATTACTTTAACAAACAACATAATGAACGTGATTATAATGCATGAGATAAGCTCTGTTGTATAAATACTTTACAGGGGTGCTAATCCTTTCCCACTTAATCCAAAACTAAGAAAAAAGTTTTTGCTGGACACTTTAAACACCAAGAAAAACTATAGAAAATGTATGCTTTACCTTTACCAACAGATGGCGATGTGACATCAGGTAATTTGTACCAAATGACATGAACAAATATATACAGTTAGAAGTTTTTTTTATTTTAGTGCTAAGTTTTGATGATCATACCGATCATAGGCCGCTGTAATTTATTTTTTTTTACTTTTTATTCTTTATTGTTAGCAAGTAATCTTATGTGTGAAAGGGCCTTGTATGAGATACATGAAGTCTAAACTAATCTTACTAACTTTTCTCTATAACTCCATAACACGGAGGTTATGTTCTGTACTTGAGAAAATTCATGTGGAAATTGGATTTAGAGGTTTGTCAGTAAGTGTTTTCCATTTCTTTTTATTTCCATTGACCTGAGAGTAATTGTAGAAGATTATGCCAAAAGAATCCTGCAGAGAGGCTGAAATTTTCTTGAAGCAAAATCATAGTCTCACATATCGCAATGATATGATTGGTATCATGGTGGAAAGTTACCTGATTTTGCCTGCTATAGTACAGCTCTTCTGTGTCATTTTATTGCCATTTGGGCAAATGCATGGAGATTTACATACATTGGTGTTAAAAGAAGGTTCTTGTAATAAGTTCCTGATGCCCATCATGAACACCATGGGGATCAGAGCAGAAAGAATGTTTTGAGCATAATTTCACATTAAAGTGTTTCTAAAGGCTTGGGTGTTTTTTTTTTTTTTTTTTAAACACCCCACTATTGATGGGCATTGATTGACGGCTTTGATGGGCAGAACTGATGGGTGGCACTGACTGACGGCACTGACTGGTGGCACTGCTGGGCAGCACTGATGGGTGGTACTGATGGGCACTGGTGGGTGGCATTGCTGGGTACTGATGGGCACAGGTGGGTAGCACTGATGGGCACAGGTGGGTGGCACTGCTGGGCACTGATGGGCACAGGTGGGTGACACTGCTGGGCACTGATAATCAGTGCCTTGATGGCCAGTGCCGATCTGTTCTTTAGCAATTGCCGGTTATCGGCAGTACTTTCCTCACGCAAATGTATTTACCCTGTGATCTGCTGTGTCATTGGACACAGCTGATTACGTGGTAAAAGGCCGCTGTGATTGGCCTTTTACCACATCACGTGATCAGGTGTGTCCAGAGGTCGCTGGTGCACGCCGCTGTAAGCGCGCAGGAGAGTGCGTTCTAGGAGGATGTCATATGATGCCCTCCCAGAACTGGGCAACCGTGCAGTTTGGCTATAGCGCGGTTGCCAAGTGGTTAATATTCAAAGAAAACTCCCCCATTCATCCATGTCTCCATGGTTTATTTTTATGAGAAATTGCTTTGGAAAAGATAAACTAGCATTTCTGGCTGTGGCCATCTAATGTGAGGTCAGATGATTCATGTAGCATATACTTCATGGAATCCATCTTCCCTTAGTTCAGGTATGCCAGCATTAGGGCTGGCTTAGCTGAGAAAACCCTTCCTGAAGACTCCTGGGATGTATGACATCAATTGCCTAGGCCTAGAAACCAAAAAGTAACTGAAGAAATGTAAAAAAAAACAAGAAGTAAATATGATATACAGCTGTTCTTTCCTTTATTCTTCCTAATGCAAGCAGCATAAGGATGAGAAATAGCCAATGCTGATTGACAGAGTGAAGTTCCACTTTAAATATGCACAAATAGACTGTAGAATAACTTATGTGTTCCTGCTGATATTTTTTTATGTGCTTGATTTATGAATTAGCCCCCTGGCGAACTTGAAAATTATCAAGTAAATCATAGTTGTTGTTTGTATGGATGATTCATTTAGTTATATAAGCTCCCACAGCAACAGCATCTCTAGTATGTTGTATTTTCTTATTGGTGCAGCAGTTAAAGTTGAACTCACAGAAAATAGCTAAATACACAGATGAACTGTATATGTATAAAATCTGTGTGGTTTTTTTAAAATAATTTCTTTATTTTCGACACCATCAGAGCAGAGCAGTTGGTTACAAAGTACAAAATACAGTAGCATGGCGACATACAATGACATCCAACAAAGGTCACCGTTCTATAAGAACTGTTTTACCTGCCAAAGCACTTGTTTTTCTGTCCATCCATCTGAGAATTGTAAACAGATTTGTCACACTAGGGGGTGGTC